TTGGAATCTGAGAAAAGAAAATATCAAAAACTAGTAAATAATAAGCTTAATCACCGAGTGTACAAGGACTTAAAAGGAATCATGCTCAAATATGAACAGTATTGAAACTGAATCTTAAAATTGTGATTGTTTTAAAACTTTTTGTGTGGTTGTTTAATTGAGAATATTATGTGATGTTTATGTATTTTGCTGATTTAGTATCTCAGGGTTGCTTTTCCATCATTGTTATTATTCTGTTACGGTTGTAGTTTCACTGTTAGGAAAATAGGAATTCAGTTTACGAGATTAACTTCACAAATGCTTTTAGGAGGAGGTGTTTACTACTCAGAGCCAGGCTTTTCATTTACAGAGCTGCTCTTTAACCCTGTTAATGGCAGTGAAGAAAGTAACACTTTGTTACTATGACTACAAAGTTGGTTACCATGGTGACATTGTGTAACTGTTGTCATGGTAACATCACTCATATCACATGAATGACTTAGTCTCCATCCTCATATGTTGATATCATTCAAATCAAGTGCTCTGTAAATAATAATATTGTTGTTAATATGTTAATATTTTGTACATGAAATAAAAGAAAGCTTTAAGCAGAAAAAAGTTGTTGTTTGTTTATGATCATCAATTTGGTAGTTAATATTTAGTGATGTGTACAAATGAATCTTTTGTTATGTCTAATAGGGTTGAGGAAGGCAATGATCACCAATAGACTTTTCAGTGTGCTGAATATGATCACCAGGAAACGTCTTCGGTATGTTACACATACAAGTGTTACACATACAGTGTTCTGCATGTTATAATCAAGAAACATCTTCAGTGTTCCGAGTATTGGCTAACGGAGACTTCCTGCGTTTCCTTCGTGTCCCTAACGTCTGACAACGTTAACTATCCACATATATAGAAGCGTGGTCGAATTTCTCTAAATTCAGTTGTGTTAACAATATAAATTACTTTCCGACTTTCAGTTAAACACAACAACAGTGAATAATACGGACCCCAAGCTTAACTCGTGCTAGTAAAGGTCTTCATAGGCCTACTTGAAATGGGTTATAGCCAAAACGTGATCGCGATACGTCACAAAACGGCCCGAGAAATCGGCATCGTGCTACCTGGTGAAAACAATAAATCATCTTCATACAATTGTTATGATATTTTGGTTCAATACAAAATTAACCATGTGTGGGTTATCATGTTCTGGTCTTATACTCCAATGTTCTGTTCACACACAAACGCACACACGCACACGCACGCGCCCGTGCGCACGCACACACACATATCTGACGTGATCAAATACATATGTATGTCTAAAATGATTGAATAGGCCGATTTTTTCTAAGAATTGCTCGTGTTCAAATATTAGAAAACGTTCTAAAATAAGACTTGTTGACGCAATGTGTCCTTATTAATGCACGGAGATTCGTACCCAACGAAAATAACTCGGGGATTTGCCCATTTTAAGTGACTTGATTGATTTCTCAATCTCATCTCTGGTAAAACGTTCCTATACAGATTATCCATACTGTTACAATAAGTATATTCATCATCATCATGTGTCACTTAATCATTGACAGTTGCATCAAACCCATCACTGCCGTTACAACGAGTCGGATTCAGTAATCTTTAAAATAAATAAACCACTTCTCTGACGAGATGTGCATCTTCTCATTACGGTTCTGCAGTAGTGCCTTTATTTTAAACCAAAACTTTTTACAATCGTCATCTGCAACTGTCGTACGAATCTCGTTCGCGATTGCATTGTTGAAATGTTGGCACTTCTCTTAGTCTGAATATACCCAGTCAAACTATGATGTGTTCGACATCTACAAAACGTATTTAGACGACAATATTTGGTTCTTTTTGCGAGCTCACATTCATGATCAAACCATTAAGGTTGTACACGCTTTAAACCCTGTCGACTGTTACAGTTAACTGTTAAGACTGTCGACTGTTAAGATGACTCCCCATATGTTGCAAGAGCTCCACTAGCTTCTCAGTGGCAGCATTAACATTGAAATGTACCAATAGCAGAAAATCATTCGATGTTACTTGATTCTTCAGAATGTTCAGCTTCATTGAATTGTCTAAATCATTTATCATTAATCCAATTAAATTTCCACACACCGCCATCATTTACAACATTAACAACACTTGAATTTAATTTAACTTGTAAAATACAATATACTGTAAGATGGTCTGAGTCTGTTCTGGAATGTACAACGATATCTATAACAGATTGAAAACAGTTAGTAGTTGCTGGTACATAGTCAAAGAGGCTTGAACCATTACTAGTAAATACACGTGTCTGAACCTTTTCCCTTACCACTTACAATGTGTAATCACCACAACTTGCATAATTCCACGCGAGTGTTAAACCATACTTATTCACTACAAGGTCTTGTGCTGCTCTCTTCTCGTTAAGGCTAAAAAATAGTCTTGGTTCTCAGGCAGGGCTCGCATCATCATAAAGTTCGCTGCACGTTTCGTTTTTACAGTAAAGTACGGTTATAACGAACTCAAAGGGACTACTAATTTTAGTTCGTTATAACCGTAGTTCGTTATAAGCATATGTACAGGATAACTACAGCAAATAGTCGGGACCAAAAAAGTAAGTTCGTTATATCCATCAGTTCGTTACAAGAGTGTTCGCTATAACCGTAGTTTACTGTATTTCCATTTTTAAAAAAAGAAAAGAAATCCTCAAATATTCCAAGTCCAACGGTGGTCGAATACTGTATTCCAGTATTTTACTCATCAAAGAATACATTTATGTAGGGAGGCCCTTTCCCAGGTTGATAGTACACAATTGCTTATTGATAACTGTTTATTGGTTACATACTTGTTTGATCTACAATAAAAAAAAAAGACACTGCCCGCCCGCACTATATTTTCAAAAAACATTGCCTGAGAACCAATTCTCGTATTTTTTAAAGCCTAAAGTCATCAGCTACATACAGATCTGTTAGTAGAAGGTAATTAGAGTCATGGTCATCTTCGTAAAATCATAATATCATCATTCGACCCAACTCCATTGAGATCCCCTAATAAATATAGGATAGGTGTATCACTACCATAGCGTAATGGCTGATATTTCAGTATCCAACGCTTCAATACCATCGGTGTCAGGGTCCTCGTATAAGGTTTTTTTTCAGGGAGCATGTGTAGAAACCCAATGATGAAATTATCCTTAACTTTAAAAAATACACCATTTTGACATTCTGGGAATAGTCATTAAGGCGTAGTCTTGTAGATGGGAATGTAGTCCTTGAATGTTGCACGCACACACGCGTGCGTGCGTAGCAATTTGGACCAGACAATCCAGTGATTGACATCACGAGCATTGATCTACGCAAATTGAAATCCACCAAGTCAACGAGCCTGACCACCCGATCCCGTTAGCCGCATCTTACGACAAGCATCTGTTCCTGGAGTCGATTACTGAGATTTCTGAGGTCATCATTTTCAAGGACATATATAGACTTCGCCATTTATCACTACCTCGTTAGAGGAGAGCTAAGCATTTCTATGTGCATCCAACATATCAGGGATAAGCCCTGTTCTTATCGTTCTGACTCTCTCTGTATAATCGTTCTTTACATGTAACAACTTGGATTGTCTGGTCCAGATTCGATTAATTACAGTTCAGTGAGATTCCGGGGTAGAATAGGTCTTCAGCAACCCATGCTTGCCGTAAAAGGTGACTATGCTTGACGTAAAAGGCGACTAACGGGATCGGGTGGTTAGGCTCGCTGACTTGGTTGATGCATGTCATCGATCCCAATTGCGTGGATCGATGCTCATGATATCAATCACTGGATTGTCTGGTCCAGACTCGATTATTAACAGACCGCCGCCATATAGCTGGAAGACTGCTGAGTGCGGCGTTAAACAACAAACAAACCAATTGTATGACAGGAACTTCACATTGATGGGTTTCTGTCTTATTGACTTCTCAGACGATGAGCTCGCTCGAAACACAAAACAAACAAAGAGCCATTGCTACAGGTATGAATAATAACGATGAATGTTTCAAATCATGTATATTTTCATTGAGTGAGTGAGTGAGTGAGTGAGTGAGTGAGTATGGTTTAACGCCGCTTTTAGCAATATTCCAGCTATATCACGGCGGGGGACACCAGAAATGGGCTTCACACATTGTACCCATGTCGGGAATCGAACCCGGGTCTTCAGCGTGACGAGCGAACGCTTTAACCACTAGGCTACCCGACCGCCCCATATTTTCATTGGGTCATTGCTGCAGGTAAGACTACAAACGATTAATGTTTAAAATCATATATATTTTCATTTTGTACGGATTCGCTTTTTGGGGTACGAGTCATCCAGTTGATTTAAGTATGAGTGAGTACGGGCTATCCAACATTTGAGTCCGTCAAGCTTGTTTGGGTACGGATCTCCATGGGCACGGATTGTCAAGTTGCCAAGGGTCATATTTTGGAATTTGGGTCCCGGAATAAAATGGCCTCAAACAATTTGGAGAAAATGGTAGAACGGCAAAAACGGTTTCTTAAAAACCTCCAAAGGAACATTTTCACTTTTTTCTCTCCAATTTTGTTTCCCACGTCAAACATGTAAAAAAAGAACTATATACATCAACAAATCATGGAAAATCTAATCTTGCCCCAATAAAGCGTATCACTTCATATTCACCACGATTGAATGAGTCATTCCACATAAAATAGTGTACATTGTGCTGTTACGTGTCATAATTTTCAGCTGTTACAGAAATTGATCCGTGCTTTTTTTCCATGTAATTTCCTCGGTTTAAAAAGCAGAATACTTAATTATCCCGTTTTGCAATTTGTTCCATTCTTTAACTCATGTAAGAAAACATAATTTGGATGGCTTTACGCGCGGACGTATATACGCAATAGAACCAAAGACCATATACCGATGTACGTGGTCTGTGATAGAACGAATCTTCTACAACGGATCAGTTGTGACTTGACAAAAATCGCCTAATACAGAGTTACCTCCCTTGACAAGAACTGACATGGCCGCCGAAGAGATAAAAGATAGGTCATTATTTGAATGTAGCAAATTTGTGATGTTTCGCGATTAGAAGAGGGCGTAGGCTTGGTGTAACAGATACATTTATAGAAACTTCTATTGGTGATATAGTTCATGAAGCCATTTCAAAAGCGTGTTGGACCCCAATCAAGAAAAAGACGACAAAGCACTCGACTCTTCAAATTTCGCGCACCTGCTTCAACGCTACCCGCTGAATTGATTTTAGGTGGTTCTAATGGTTTTGCGATAACATATCGCTTCGGCTAAAGAATTGTATTTCTTACTAGGGTCTTGTTGAAATCTAAAACAATGTTCATTGAAACTCTTGAATTCACAATTCCTATTGATTTGTGTAGCCTGTGTGCGACTCTACAGAAGGGATGTTCTGACATGGAATTCCCGGCTTCGGTCAACTCTTATGGCACGACGCAAGATGCAAACATTCAGGTTTTGTTAAAATCAAATAAACTGACTTTCAAAGTTGATGGTGTGTCATCAGGTGCAAGCATTATATCCAAAAATGAATGCAAGACATTGAAGCTATCAGTCTTTGACGTGGATAGATCATTAATGCCTCAGGAAGATACAAACTTTGATCAAAATTCAAGCAATGTGCATCATCCATTACCTACAATAAACCATGGCAAAAGAACTCGTGAACAGTCTGTTACAATGCCAGCAAAAGCAAGTAGAAATTCCTTTTATGATTCCCCAACTATGACGAAACACAAGTCGCCAACAACACGTCGAGGGTCAAACAGCCACCAGTCATCATCATCATCATCATCATCATCTAATAACACAAGACTACCTTGCAATGCCACAGTTAAGACAGAGCCAGAAGAACCTGACTTGATAGAAATAGAGCCTGATCCACATCCTGCGGAAAGTGTCAAGAAAGAAGTCCCATACATGCAAATTGACTTTTCATCAGATGTACCTCATACGCAAACGTCCCAAGCAGCTCTAGATCGACTCTCTCATCCACAACCTTCTATTTCGCATTCGCCCGGCTCTTCATCCTCATCTTACCAACAAAACGTTCCACATGTGCCAGATTACACCGAACCCAGTACTAGTCAAGCAAGATATGGTGACCAAAGTGCAGATGACTTTTTAGTATTCCAAGATGAAAACGATGAAGTAGATGACAATGAAGTTGATTTCAGCAATGACGGTAACTATACTTTTTGGTTATTTTTGGAGAGCTGCTACTACTCTCTAGTCATTTGAATATGGGACCAAGGCATAAAACATGCATAAAAAGTTACACGTTTTGTTAAAATAAGATTTCTGTTAACCTCCATCCACATCTATTTTAATGTCTGAAAACAATACCTTAACCATGGAGGGGCGGTCGGGTAGCCCAGTGGTTAAAGCGTTTGCTCGTCACGCCGAAGACCCGGGTTCGATTCCCGACATGGGTACAATATGTGAAGCCCATTTCTGGTGTCCCCCGCCGTGATATTGCTGGAAAATTGCTAAAAGCGGCGTAAAACCATACTCACTCACTTAACCATGGACTATTCCACCATGGTGCAATACACCCTTTAGAATGGACTACAGCAATTTATTCAGTCAGCTATAGAAACCTACAGTTTTAGTCTCCTAGTACTTATGCTTATAATCATAACCTATAGCAAAATCCTTTAAACATGTGTTAAAAGGGCAAATTTCCACTTGTCCTTATGATACCCTAACTATTGAGCCGTTTGGCCAGTCCTATAGGACTAGTGCAAATTTCTAAAGCAGCAGATATATTTTCTGTTCATCATTAATACTTCACAGTCTTGTATATATAACGCTCCTCCATCGCCCATGCATGCATATGGGCCACTTTGCGGTAAAGCCCAGCAATAGAAACTAACAGTTTTAGTCCACTATTCCTTATAATGATAACATAGCAAAACCCCTAAAAAATGCAAATTTATCAGTCAGGGTGGTCTCTGGGATGTGGATTTTCAATTCCTACTGCAGGACCCGGTTTTTTGCGCGCTAGGGCAAAGTCACTGAAACGCGTGTAATAGGACTTTGAATATCCTGTGTATTGGTGTCACTTCACCGTTAGCGCTTGGTTGATTCCCGGCCTTCATTACCACCAGGAGACTTGTTCAGGTTTAGCAGCTGAATGCGAAACATGTTTATATAAGTCCTTTTGATACTGTAACTATTGGGCAGTTTGGTAAGGACTATAGGACTAATGCCTATTTCTAATGCTGTAAAACCACTATTTTAAACCATCAAATCAAACAAAGGCCTGGTGCCAGCATGATTTGTTTGTTTTGTTTGTTTGTTGTTTAACGCTGCACTCAGCAATATTCCAGCTATATGACGGTGGTCTGTAAAATAATCGAGTCTGGACCAGACAATCCAGTGATTGACATCATGAGCATCGATCTACGCAATTGGGATCGATGACATGTATGTGTATCAACCAAGTCAGCAAGCCTGACCACCTGATCCCGTTAGTCGCCTTTTACGACAAGCATAGTCACCTTTAACGCCAAGCATTGGTTGCTGAAGACCTATTCTACCCCGGAATCTTCACGGGTCTGGTGCCAGCAAGAGGGGAGCCAGAGAGTGCACAGACCATGGAACGTTCAGATAACACAAGCCATACTGTTTCTTGCAGAACAATGTGTTCAACATGTGCCTTAGCCTTGTGGCTGTTTATCTACACGTGGCCTCAGTGTCCGGCAGTGGCAGGGTGCACGCTATAATCATGCATGGAGGAGAGCTCTTTTTGACATCCAGGACGTTGGTTGATTGTTTTACGCCGCACTTGACAATTTTCCAGCTATATGGCGGCGGTCTGTAAAATAATCGAGTCTGGACCAGACAATCCAGTGATTGACATCATGAGCATAGATCTGCGTAATTGGGATCGATGACATGTATCAACCAAGTCAGCGAGCCTGACCACCCGATCCCGTTAGTCACCTTTTACGACAAGCATAGTCGCCTTTTACGGCAAGCATGGGTTGTTGAAGACCTAATCTACCCCGGAATCTTCACGGGTCTCCAGGACGTACAGACGGTACCATTTCATCATGCTGATTAGGTTCCCAGAAATACACACACATCACTACTGCACTGCAAAGTGGCCGTATGTATTCACACATGATGGAGGAACATAGTGTGCTGGTGTACACAAACCTGTTAAGTATTGATGTATTCTGTTAGATTAGCTGAAAATATTCTGGTGGATCGTGATCTTCAGGCCCTTTTTCTTTCTCTACTTGTTCTGAAAGTCGGAAAACACAGTAAAGAAATAAACAGGAAAAGACTGTAAACATCGGGGAGTGATAAGTGGTAAAAATACATGTGGATGTACAACTTGCTCCAACAGAGATCTAGACTGCAGCATATGTCAGTAAAATTTCCCAAATTGGAATTAGAAGAATTTTTCCAATTCCTGTTGTATATCACAGACAACAGGGCCAATAAAGTGAAAGAGCATTAATGCTTAACGTTTACATTATCGCACTGAAGGCAATGTTAAAATACTTCTGAATTTAGGAAAATAATATTTTTTAGAAATCCCAATTTGGAACAAAATAATGATTTTCTTGTCAGTTTGCTTGCCATGGGCACTTTGTTTACAATCCTAGATAAATCCTTCGTCAATATTTATGGCAATGTCTAAAAAAATTACTTCACTTGACATGCCCATGATGCCTACTGATGGGGGAAAATAGGATTTTGCTGTTGAAGCACAATTTTATACTGGATTGTCTGGTCCAGATTCCATTGCTTACAGACCACTGTCATATAGCTGAAATATTGCTGAGTGCTTCCTTGAACAACAACCACACAAACAAAACTATACTGGTAATTTCAAAATGCAGTGAAACCTTGCTAACACAGATACATGTATTTCAAGTGAGGTGACGATAGTACTGTTTGCAGACATTTACCAATAGGGCTCCACTTCAACAGTACACGGTCATAAACACAGAACCCGAATGTAGTTCGAATTGGGGTTTGTCACTGTGCATGTTATTTTATTTTAGCCAAACAAAAAAGGTGAAATTGAAAAAAAAATTCTGATTATGCCTGATGGTCCTTTTTTCAAATGTCTTATTGTTTCTGTGTGATCATTGCTAATGTTTGGAGGTAAAAATAGATCACTTTCATAATGTTATCAGCATGTTTTCTTATAAGCATGTATGAACATAATTAAGGGCCGAAATGATCATATTTGATCAAACATTGCCTCGACAGTGTCCATGGGAGTGAGAATCTGTTGGGGTTCAGTAACGTGTTGAACAATGTTGAAGCTGTATGCTCTCGATGTGGTCTGTTCATGAGCTGTTGATAACCATGATAACATGGTGGCACATGGGGCTTGTGTGTCTATCATGATGGAATGGAGTTTTAGTGGATAATTGAGAATGCTGTAGTTTGTACAGTGTACAAAATGGTGTACACTGTCGTACTTGTGGTGTACAACCATGTGCAAGTTTAATTTTTAATCGTGTACAGAAACACTGTTTGATAGTTTACAAATGACACATAACCAACTATGTCCTCTTTTTGTATCTGGGGGCACGGATGGCCCAGTCGTCTAAGGCGCCACGATTCGCTGTGCAGAGTTGCGTCCCTTGGGCACGCCAGAAAACTATGATTGTGGGTCTGAATCCCGGTTCGCCCCGATTATGTTTCTAAGTTTGTCAGCACCATACCCGTGCTCGTGGGTTTCATCGAAGTGGTAAACGTCTGAGACCTGCATCACTTCGGGCTTTCCTCTCACATTAAGCTGACACGCCACGATATAACTGGAATAATGTTAAAAGCGGCGTTAAACCCAACTCACTCACTCTTTTTGTATCTGAATAATGAATGTTATGACTAGATATTAAAAATGGTTATTTTGCCTCATTTCTCATTGAAACATCAGGGAAATTGTTGATCGAAGATGTTGCAAGTTTTCTTGGTTTGTTTGTTGTTTAACGCCACTCACAGCTATAGTCCAGCTGTATGAAGGCAGTCTGTAAATTGTTGAGTGATTGACATCATGAGCATCAATCTACGCAACTGGCAATCAATGACAAGCATCAACCAAGTCAACGAGCCCGACCACATGATCCTGTTGGTTGCCTCTGAAAACCAGCATGTATGGACATGTGTGGCCCAGTAAGGCACTGCAATTCACTGTGCAGAGGTATAGAGAAATGGTGACTGGGTTCAAATCCCAGTTCGTCCTGATTATATGTTTCTGGGTTTGTCAGCACCTTATCCATACTTGTGGTTTTCACCAATGTGGTAAAAGGGGCGGTCGGGTAGCCGAGTGGTTAAAGTATTCGCTCGTCACGCCGAAGACCTGAGTTCGATTCCCGGCATGGGTACAATGTGTGAAGCCCATTTCTGGTGTCCACCGCCATGATATTGCTGGAATATCGCTATAAGCGGCGTAAAGCCATACTCACTCACTCACTCACCAATGTGGTAAATGTCTGAGACCTACATTGCTTTGGGCCTTCTTCCCACACTAACCTGACACGCCTTGATATAACTGGAATAGTCTTAGAAGTGGCGTTAAACTCAACTCACTCAGTCACTTTGAACATGTTGAAGTGAGAACTTTCACTGATTGGCAGGCAGGAAGCTACAGGAGGTGTGTAACACATGCTCCTATTATGATGATACTACCAGAGTTACCATGACTACAGGCATGACAAAGGTATACTTTGATTGGAAAACTGACAAGGATGGCAAGCTGGAAAGAAATTATGTCACCGTTTCCAACTTGACTTTGAGACTCATGTGACATGATTTATCATATAATGGGTAGCTTTCTCACCAAGGCTTGCTAAATACAATGTTTATTTCTAATACAGAACATTTACCATAACAAACATGATAACATGATTTTTATAGCACATGTTTTTCAGTGTATGGATATGTTCGTAGATACTGTATTTGAGTGTACTGGATATTTGAAGTGTCTCCTGGATGTCCTTATCGTTCTTCTTGTTCTTGTCATTGTTATCGTCAAGTTGATTGTTTTATCAATTTTTCTCTACTAATCTGTCTGGCGATGATTCCACGCCAATAGAGGTCCCATTTAATCACAGCTTTTATTATCTGTTGATAAAAGTGTTGGTTATAATGTGGTAGATTGTGTAGCCAAAAAACAACATGGTTACCACATAATGTGGATTGTTGCTCATGCTA